TTTTTTTCATTTCTTACTGTTGTTTTTCTTTTTTTGACATTGTTTTTAAGGTTGAACCTGTGTAAGCTTTTCCTACTTATTTTGAAGTTGTAAAAAAACAGCTTTGCCTCAGTCTATTTTTTCCGATATATCTGACTAATTTGCAAATATGGTCAAACATAACTCGAGTGAACGATCTGTACATCAAACTACATAGAAATTGAAAAGTCACTTTGTTGGTCATTCTGGTTTTCCAACACCATTAATCCGGAATTCAGCACTTTAATTTGAAAGCACAGAAAGTCTGGACAATTTGCGTATTGCTAGGTTACACTGCAAACTGATGAAGCGAAAAATGTCCCTTGTGGCACAAGTGGAGGCGTCATGATATACTTTGATCGGATAGAAGTCGTCAACATTCTCAGTGCGAGTAGTGGTATGTGGAAAATTTTTTAAAAATGTTTATTTGGGTAAACGAAATATCTTCTCCATTTTTACCATCATTTTCACATTTATAATGCAGCACCTAGAATTACAGAACGTCGTTACATCCACTAAGCGATGTACAGTCGTTAAAAACATCCATGTTCAGTTTATATCAAATTTTTTACAATTCCCATAATTATTGTTTAGCATTTTTTTCGCGAATTTACTAAGCCTTTGCAGTATATGACATCGTCAAGAACTATACAGTTGATTACGACAAGCCGCTCATTTTCAACAAAGTTCATCATGAAGTAAATCAATTTTGTTCCAGCCATTCTTTGCAGGAAGTTTATATCGATCTATTTGGTTAGTGTAAATATTGTCACCATCTTCTAACTTCTATTGCAATCATTGAATTAGCTGTAGTTTAGAAAGTTAATGGATTGGAAATTTTGAATTCAGTAATGTTTAGATCAGATTGATGAGAACTTGAAGACTGCACTACAAGAAGATTTGACAATAATGGCACCGGGGCTGTTTGTACAAGCAGTTCGAGTCACGAAACCTAAGATACCTGAGGCTATAAGGCATAATTATGAACAAATGGAAGCTGAGAAGGTTATAGGGCGAATTTGATTTTTCAACTTAACAAATCGCATTTTCCTCTTACAGACAAAACTCCTTGTAGCCACTCAACATCAAAAGGTTGTTGAGAAGGAAGCGGAAACCGAGCGAAAGAAAGCTGTGATAGGTTGGCATATTGTCTTTTTTTTTGGAGCTTTATCCACTGAGCTGTCCTTCTGTTCAGAAGCCGAGAAGAAGGCCCAGGTGGCCGCAATCATGCACAAACAAACGATAGCTGAAAAGGAAACACAGAAGAAGATCAGTCAGTTGGAAGACGAAAGTCATTTGGGTATGGTTTTT